GGGCTGGTTTGGGGCAGTGGTTACGTCCGTGCGCTCCCCGTGAGGCCGGCGTGTGGCCTTTAACCAGGCCTGCCTCCCTGTAACCCCGTGCGAGAGGGGCCGGTGAGGTCGGTCAAGGCCTGTCTCTGGTGCAGAAGCGTCTGGCGTGCTTGGGTGTCAGAGGTAACGGTCAGGGGTTGCCCGGCTGGCAGCAGAGATTATTTGCAACCTCTGGAAGGCAATGAGCTTATTTTAGAGGCGTTTGCAGAATTTCAGCTCTGAACCGAAGCATGAGAGGAGAGCCTACAGAGCCGTTGCAGGTATAAGTTGTGCAAAGTGCGTTTTGTTTCTTAAGTGAGTCAACCACTGCACCGTAAGGAAACGCAGAGCCTTCAGCCTCACACCCCAGAGTCATGGACCGTGCTTCCATTTTGCTTTATCGGATGTAATCTTTTAATAGAGTTTTTTGCATAGTTTGTTTTCTCCCAGTTGCTACTCGTGCAGTTAACATTTAATAGCCTGTATAATGGGGAAAGATTAATGTAGGGACTTGACAACAGCTTCCTCTAATCATGCCTCTTCATTGATATCTCTGAGTAACTGTGTGTCATTGTAAACTGTTTGTGTTAGAAAAAAACCATCCCACAGTGTGATACCAACAATTAGTCCAATCAAATCAATGCTTTCTAGGACTAAATGCTAAATTAAGTATCCCATCTTGTAGATATATACATATTTTATGACTTAGGGTATTCTGGAGGTATTTGTAGCGCCTCGGACTTCACTTGCTTGGTTTATAATGGTCCTTAAACCATACAGACTTTAGCTGCCATCTGAGTTTTCATCTCCAGTTCTTTGTTTCCTTTTCCATCAAGTTTCTCCTCACATGCTGATTACAGCTCTGCATGACTTTGGTTTGGTTTTTTGAGCCTAATTAAACTAGTTGTGAAAATAACCTATAACAAAATATTTGTGTTGTGTTTTTTTTTCTGAATAGGCTTCCTTCCTGTCTTTTGCCTGATCAGTCTATATATGAGGTTTTTAGAACTGTTTCCTGTTATTTATGCAGGAGTCTGGCACTGTGAGGCCTTACATTAGTTGTTTTGTAGATGCTGTCGTGAATAACTCAAATAAATAATACGAGTAGGGGTTGGAGCTTGTAAGTTCTTGTGTATGAATATGATTCCTTTTCTTTACTCTTCAGCTTTGAGCTTTTCACTGTGTTCTCTTACTATGTCTGAAACAAATGTAGTCATTGTCTGGCATTTTCCCCTTCTCTGAAGTAAATTTCTTCAAAATAAGCTCCCTCACATTTCGTTTCCTTCAGTGAACTATTGTCATGTATGAGTGATACATACCTTATAGATGATTTTGTAAAGAGTTCTACATATTAATGGAGAAATATATATCGTGGTGAAGGTAAAAATCTCTTATTGCATGGCCTAGAGAAGTTCTGAATCTCTTCTGCTTCAGCAGCCTTCCTGTGTTGTATGAATTTGTGCATGAGAGATCTGTTCATTTACCATGTAGGATGGTAATTCAAATTGATCTCGAACACAGAATTTAAAGTGTTGAGATAATTTTACTTGATTAGGTATTCATTTAGGAAGAAATAAAACTCAAAGATAGGAACAATAGCTATATAAAATATTCAGAGTGATTACTGAATAAGTTTTACGAGGTTTCAGGTCATAAATTTCCACCTCAAGTAGAATTCCAAATAGATTCTGCAAATGAAGAGGGAATTTATTGTCTGAAGTATCAGATTTGTTCTTAACGTCTAAAATGTGGAAAATGGGAAAGGATGAGGGAGGATTTCTTGGGTCTGTCAGGTGAGGGTTAGGTGAGGAACATACTGTAACATTGTAAGAGTTGTCAGGTCAGCCATTGCTGAATTTGTCTTTTTTAAAAAAATTGTCTTTTCAAAGACAAAATATTTGTCTTTTTTAAAAAATTGTCTTTTTAAAAAAGACAAATTGTCTTTAAAAAAGACAAATTCAGGCAACTTCACTAGTTTTAGGTTCCTTCTGAAGGAAAGACTGCCTGATGGTGGAAGAAGTGAGGAGTCTGGATAGCATATCTCGGTCTAGCCCTAAACTTTTGTACCTTTGAGAAGCTACTTTGTCAATGAATACTTCAGTTGCGGTTAAAAAACTGAATTGTAAAACTGAAGGTGTAATTCGCAGTGTTTGATAGTGGTTTAAAAACTTGTCAAAATTAGAAACTAAAACAAAACTGCCTTCTATGCTGAGGTTTATGGTTTCATTTTTTTCTGGTATTCTGCTAAAAGGCAATGATAATTTAAAATATTGAGAGTGATGATCAGTGCAGGTGAAATTGATACATGGATAGAATTTCTTAGCAGATGGAAGGCTGAGCTTAACTGGGAAATGTAACATTTAAATAAAAGCCAACCAGAGACGAATGGCTTCAGGAGTCCAACTGGAAGTCTACCTGGTTGATTATGCCAGACTTAAAGACAGGGGTCCAAAAAGCATGCAAAAAGAAAATTCCTGTAGACAACATAAGTCGCATTCTTCACAGTAAGTACAGAATGAGATTTTGGGGTTTTTTTTATTAAAAGGGTTCTGGTTAGGGAACCTGTTAAAACTGTCCTGCGAAGATTACAGACTATCATCAGTCTTAATATTGGTGAAAAAGAAACTTTGATGATCTCAAGTATATCCTTGTTTTCTGGGGAGGTATGGTATCTGTCTAGCCATTTACGCAACAGCTAGAAAATTGTGTGTGCTTAGATGCTTGCGCTTAGAGAGATTTGAGTTCTCAATAGCTCTTTCCAAGCTGTAGTGAATGGTTTAGCAATGTTGAGAAAGATTTGATGCAAGTTCTCTTATCTTTCAGTAGTGATGAGTAATAGTAATCTTTGGTTTTGTCAGTTCCAGCAAATTAATGTTGATTTGAGTAGTGTAATATTAAAACTGTAAACTTATTCACAGCATGGTAATTCTTGTGTCATTTTAATGTCTCAGTGGGACAGTTTTGTGCGGCTATCGCTCTTGCTGTGCTCAAACAGTGAATTTGTATTTCTAAAATAAGTTTATTAATGTGTTAACTCTAAAACTTGTTCTTTTGTCCTTTCTAGTTATCTGTGAAGTTCAGTAACAGCTAAATATCTCTTTCTAGGTAACTTGGAAGAGAAATGCCTAATAGTGTTTCTGTGTCCCTTACTGGATAAAAATAACTTCCAAGGAGTGACCCTGAGTAATCGGTGAAGACGTGTGGCATTATCTGGAGTATTGAATGTTCTCATAATGAAGATCCCTCTTCTGCAGCAGATGTATAAGGACGTACTGGGAGGCATTCCACTAGCAAAGGAAAGCCATCATTACACCTCGCTACTTAATCTGTGTATTGAGCAGTCACCAGAAAGAGATGAATCTTGTCACCAGGTGCACCTGCCATCTGCTGGTGGTGGTGGTAGGAGCCATGAGGACACTGATACGTCAGGTGTGGTTGTCCCTACAACAGCTGATACATCAAGTAGCTTTGCAAACATGAAGTCCTCCTTCTCCCCACGAGAAGTGACGCTGCTTCAGTTAACCTTGATCAGGATGATGGTGGCTAAAGCTGAGTCCCAGCAAATTGAATCTGATACGAGGCAGAAGTACTGTGAAATCTTTGTCCTCCTTCTGAAGGAGGCAAAACTTGACTCAAAGTTGGTAAGCTTTTATGAACTTTTGAAACATTTTTGTGAACTGAGGAGGGGGGGAAAAAAAAGGAACGTGTCTTAGATAACCTTTTCTTTCTACATATCTGCAGATTTGTCTGCTCAGTAGTTCTGATCAGCTGTTATCTCACATGGCTTCAAAAAGTTTAGCATCTCTTGTGTATTTCCAGCTGAAGGAAGAGGTGAGTATGTCATAACTTTTCACACCTCAAAAAATGACTTCGTGAATATGTGCCTTCAAGTTGTTCTGTTCGACTCTAGAGCCAAGTTTTTGTACTGTTTATAGGGCACAAAAGGAGTCGCTGTGTGACTACTGTGTAATCTAAATGTAGTTCTAAAGAGGCTCCTTCTGTGAGTAGAAACTATTTTAAGGTAAAATGTGTCTAGATGACAAGAAATATTCTCTTCAAGGTTGCAATACAGGTATTTAACACCCCCCCGATAATCTAGGTTATCAATATTTTTACAATTACTTGATATCTGTTAGGTGACGTGGTATGTAAAAATAGGTAATAACCTATTGAAAATTAATCAGATGCTTTTCTGCATTTTCTTGTTTGAGTATTCCAGTTACTTGTGGGCTGTTATTTTTTGCTCGTATACTGGTGAATGTGTATTGTAACCTCCATAGTAGCATCTCTGAGCTTAGATTTCTCTCAGAAATACGTTTGTTATTTCTTCCAAGGTTGCCTGGCACTAGGAATTACAAATTCAGATATGATCTGTCTACAGTATTATCTGATTTTGGGAAGGTCATGTGACTTGAGGAGGTTTGGTTTTTCCCTTTCTGGAAAACAGACAATTCCTATGGCATGCGTACATGACTTCGTGTTTGTAAAGTGGCCTAAGTACTTAAACAGCCCTGGACAAATATATTGTTTCTACCTGTGTTTTTTTTCTATGTCTGCATTTGAATCTTTCTAACATACAATTTTAAAATCTTCATGTTATGATTAGCATAGTAATTGTAAAATATACGTGATTGTTTTTTAAACAAATTTCCTCAGAACGCGTTAAATGTCACCTGGCTCGCCTTTAGCTTGAAGACTCTTTCAGGATTCCCTGTGAACACCCGGGTAGCAGGATGTCTGTGGACTCTTACCACCATTATCAAGGACATACTGAAAGATGAAGTTTTACCCAAAGCAGGTACTGCAGCAATTTTAAGATGTTACCGATACACGAATCCCCACTAGGGGGGGGAATGTTACTGGTAATCTCATCTGGACAAGCTTGTCTGAAAAACACGTATCCTCTTCGTTATAAAAGGATGACAAAGAACTGTTAAAAATGTAGTGGTTTAAACACACTTAAGAACTCGAAAATTAAATAGTCACAATCACCTGGTTTTTGCTTCTTTAATGATTTAGCTATGTTGCACTCCAACTCCATAACGTTCTTCTTGTTGCTGTAGGTATTTTGAAGAAGCTATTGGCTCCTCTGGATGCTGTGCTTGAAGGATTTTTTAATTCCATGCTGTTCCATCATTTTGACAGTCACCACTATACTTCACCTTATTCTGAAGCTGCAAACAATTTGATCAGTTTTATAGATCTGCACGAAGCACTTTTGACTTCCAGAACTGAATTTGAACTACCGCTTGCATGTCAGAGAGTGTTATTTTTGAAAGTTTCTTATATTCTGAACCTCATTAGCTCATCAATTCACTATATAATCAAGAAGAAGTTCATTATGCTCCTGAAAAAATGTGTCCTTTACAAATCTAGAGAAGATGCTAGAGGTGGATCCCTGTTCTTGCAAAACCCAGCTTTGTATGAGGATGCACTTGTGCTGAGTAACGCTGTTCTGCAGGTCGTGAATTTGACTTGGCTTAATCAGATCCCGCTTGGTGAGAATGCCGGCCACTTTGGAGGCAGTGAAGTTGCTGCTGGAGATGATGTTCAAAGTGGTTCAGACCAAACTGTTGTCAGAGCCTTAAGTCTCATTGTGCTTAAAGCACTGGAATTCAAGTTTCAGAACTCTGCTGCAGAGGCTGAAATCAAAGGTAATAGTCTCTTCTAGTTGTGATCATTAAGCAGCAAGAGATTTAAAGCTTTCAGGTTTTGTAGTCACAGCTCATTAAGACTGTAAGTAGAATTCAGGTGAATTACTGGCGGTGGGAGGGAGGAAAGAGAAGTCCCACCCAGGAAACCTGCTCTCACTAATTAGTTGTCTCCTTGCATTTTATTCTGTCCTTAGTTTTGCAATGGGGGGGGGCTTGAAGCAGTTGCGTCTGAGATTGAAAACTTCTCCTGTTAAGAACATGTCTTTAATATTTCAAATAATTGAGGCAGCTTAGGAACACCAGCCTCTTCTCCAGTTGGAAAAGAAGAGAGGCCATAGCACAAGCATCTGCTCTCTTCAGGGTAGGGAACTAAAAAGAACTGCAGGTAACATTCTGCTATTTTCTAACACAGAGATAGGACTTTAAGTACTGTCAAGTATTTATCTTTGTTGAAGGTACTAGGCACTACTGTTGGACAAATGACATATATAGGGTAAAGCCAGTAGTGGTAGAAAAGGTAAAAATAATGAAGCTGTAAAGTAAGAGACAGGAAAATTATGGGACTTGGCAGAGTATAGTGGTTGTGTTTTTCACCCTGACATATAGGTCTAGTCCTCTGAGTAAAGTGTGAGGCATACTTCTCATACCTGCTTACTTGTTTGTTTGTTTGTTCTGCTGAACAGGGGAATTAGATTAGGAGAAGAGCAGACCTGGCGCTGATGCTCAGGCTATGCCACAAGGCAGGCAGCGGGCCGGCGAGGGAATGCTGCGTGACTTGTGTTCCTCACGGGAGAGAAGGCGTTGCTGTGTCACGCTGGTAGGCAGTTAGGAGCCTTCTGCTGTTGCTGTAATGAAGTGGTGGGGCAAGGCATTTTGCCTGAGAGATGCTTCTGGAATCCCATCTTCCCACTTGCATGTTTTACCTCGGAGAGAGACATGATACCCGTCTTCTGATGCTAAGCCGTGTGGACGGAGACGTGCGAATTCTGTGAGCTTGCTGTGCCTGGATGACGGGCTTCATGGCAAAAATGGAAAGGCAGCTCAAACACAAGTGAGGGTGTTCCTTATTGTAGGTTAATCAATGATGTGGCAAAAAAAAGTAATTATATTTGGTTTTTCACCAAGGATAAAATTTTACAGCATTTTAAATGTATCAAGGCATTTTAATACAAGTTCTAGATGTAAATGTTATTTTAGGTTTTGTATTTCTGCTATGTGGCACGCATAAAACCAATTTTTAATTCATCTGACTGTGCAAAAGCACCGCAGACTTCTGTTAGCTTCTGACACTTTTTTTTACATTTTGAAAGATGTTGTATTTGTGTTGCTAGTTGCATTCTTAGTTTTTTTCAGGATTTGTAGAGAATATTTTACTTACTATCCACCTTCTGAAAAATATGTAGAGACTGAGATTGTCCAAGAGCAAGCGAGCAGAAAAAATGTAGGTTAAATCTATTTTAGACGTCTTTATGAAAATTCTTTCTCAAAAAAAGAAATACTCCTTTCTTTTCCAGATTCGTGACACAAAAATGAGTTCTTTAATTAGATTCAAATACCCAAACTGTCAAGAGGAATTTCAAGTTGAAAGGAATGGTGGTTCTATTTTAGTGATGTTGAATTAAGTGGTTAAAACAAGCACCAAAACACTCTAATATGCTAACTTCTTCCCTTCCAGGAAGCTCGTTGATCTTATCTTTTTTTATTAACATGAATTACAGTGGCTTAACTTTTAATTCATTTCAATTTTGAGGGTAATTTCCAGATATCTTTGATTTATAGGGAAGGATTTCAGTCTGAATAGTAACTATTAATAACAAGGGTAATTTGCTATCCCTGTTATTTGCTAAGAGGAAGAGCAAATCATAAAGTCAAATATTACGGGAAACCACATAGTGATGTGGAAAGTAAAATTGATTCTGATGTTGCAGGAATTTTTCAAAAGCTGTAATCACTGTTTATATAAATTATGCAACTGTGCCCTTCCAGCCGTAGTGTACTTCCAGCAGCATTAGAGTTCTTGCTTAAGGACTAGCTTTGGGGTAAAAATCTGTATGTCACTGTATTATTTTCTGTTTTCTAAACATTGATGTGTGCTGTGCTACATGAAGAACTAGTATATGCTACGTAGTGTATGTGTGTAGTACATCCTAGAGTATGTCACTAGTAGCAAAGAGGTAAGCTTCTTGACTTAAGGGAAAGAGCCTGTCTGTCGTACAAGCGTAAAGTTATCAGTAAGCCACTGAACTAAAATAGCTTAAATTCTGAGATACTTTTCCTGTCCAGGAGTGCACTGTTTAGAGAGGGGGGGAAAGTGAAGATTTGCAATTAAAACGCTGCTCACATTAATCCTTCCGGTAAGGATTTTGGACTGTTTCACAAAGATACCTTTATCCCAAGCCTATATGGACTTGAAAGCATATGTCACCCATGAAAAATTTGTTTTATAAAGAATATGGCTATGCTACAAGCTTTCTTTTTTATTTTTTACTGTAGAAATGACAGTTTCTTCCCACCAGCTGTAGATCACTGCAGTTAGCTCCTACGGTGAATCACACTGTGGGGCATTGCTTCAGTCCTATTAAAACTTTGCAGGTGGATTATTCATATGGGAAAAGCTAACCTGGATATAATCTCAGCAAAGTGCTCAGGTTGGGTTGTTTTATCTGTGGCATTGACTTCATTCCGATTCACCTTTCTTTCGTTTGTGATGCACCAGTGAAGCTACCTGATCAGGGAGTTAAAGGAAATTATAAATCCCAGCTCTGTAGTTATAGTCACATTTTTGTAGATTTCCTGATAGATGCAACTTTTTGGAGGTATAATCTTGTTCGTTGGTCTGCAGGCTTAGGTGTGAGAGGATTCATCCAAAACTTTTTAGGTCACATCTGATTATTCTTCCTTGAACTCCAAGGAAATGAGATCAGATGAGTAAATCATGTCCTTAAATTGTATCTGTCTCGGGGTGGGGAAAGAGGGAGGAGGTGGTGCCTCATGAGTCATTTAATTCTCTGCAGGTTACTTATTGTTAGCACATTGGCATCTAAACATTGTTATGTTTAGAGTTTAACAGAGTGACCATTCATAGTGAATTGAAGGTTAGATAATTTCTTATGGTTTTCTACAAAACATTTCTTGATTTTTAAAATATTTTTTGCTACCAAGAAGCAAAAACAACTCTACAAAATTTGATGCCATGTTAAGTCAATTGAACTAATTAAGTCAATTAAGTCAGTTGAGTCAAATGATAAATGCATTCTTGAACTGTTATGCACTGCTCATTTAAAAACCAAAAAGTGTATATTGTTTAGTAACAAAAAAATAAAAGCAAAATTCATGGTTACTTCTTTTTTTCAGGAGACTTTCAGAGTACCATGTCCCAGCTGTTGATATTCTGGAGGAGTCATCTGAAGTCTTCCCCACAGTCTTCCCCGGTTGTACATCACTGCGAGTGGCTCTCGTTAGTTTTCATAGAGCAAGACGATGATATGTGGGAAGCTGCTAAAGCTTTATTACTCATTTATTTAAAATTTGATAGGTTAGTGTACATATTGTTTGACGGAACTATGGCGAATTGTAATTTAGTGATGTTATTGTGATATATATAACATTTTCATTGATTACTTTATAGAAAGAAAAGAATTTTTTTACTAATTCAAAAAAGCCCCCAAACCTCGGGACAATGTAATAATATGTGGTATAAGAGCAGTTGACTTCACTGATAATTTCATTAAGTGTTTTTTGGATTGAAATGAGGGACTTGTGTAACAGTTTCATATTAGATACTCTATAAAATCTTATCATTCATAATAATTGACTTCACAATCTAAAATAAGCTTAGACACAGATAAAAGACTGGATTTTTTCAACACTGCAAGTTTGACCAGAATAGACTACTATAATTAAACTTCAAGAATTCAGAGATTTCTGGTGAAGTAGCCCTCTAAGAATTGGACCCATGTTAATTCTAGCTAGCTGATAAACACTGTTACTGCTAACAGCTGAAATGTGTTCTTCATTGATTTGTCCTGGACACACGCTGCTTCTTTGGTGTTTAAATTACCATTCGGGATATCCTAATTTATAAAAGGTCACTCAAGCTTCAAATGGGAAAATATTGCAAGTAGTATCTTAGACAAACACAATTCTTCTTAGATCCCTAATAAAAGTAGGCCACTCTTCTCCAGTGTGCTTAGTATCCTGAAAGTTAGTCTGTGTTCAGGTTTACAAAAATATTGAAATAACAATTCATGTATTGTAAGCAACTTTGTTTACTCCAGAATGTTTCCTAAGGAGTGCTCTTAAAGAAGGCCTGCTTTAAATGCCTTAGAGTCCTAAACTGTTTGATGTCCTAGCCCCACCTGCCTTCAGTCTTGTGTAAAAAGGTCTTTTTTTGGTTTTTACTTTTTGACAGATTCAAGAAAGAGCAAGACGTACTTGTTTAAAAAAAATAAATTGTAAACTTCGATTGAATTTAATCCATTTCATGACTTACTTTTCAGGTTACAGTGTGATGCTGCTGACAGCTTAAGCCAAAAAGAGGAGGAAATGTGCAACTCCCTTACACACGCAAGTGGATATAATCCTCATTGTATCTTTTTATTTTTTCTAGAAAAAATTGCATTTGATTCCACAGTACTTCTAGATTTTTTGATTTCCTCAGAAACTTGCTTTTTGGAGTACTTGGTAAGGTACCTGAAGCTTCTTAGCAAAGACTGGCATCAGTTTGTAGATGTCTGTAACCGTTTTGATACCAGACATGGCATTTTTCCATCCGTTTCTTCTGTCAAGCCACCCCATCAAGAAAAACAAAGCGATATGACTGATGAGAGTTTGCAAAATGCCTGTTGTGAACCAGAACTGCAGACTCCAATATCTTTGGCTTCTTCTCACAGTTACGTAGTGTTTACAACAGAGCAAGGTGACAATGAAGTTGCAGAGTCAAACCAGTCTAACTCATTGATATGCACTGATAGTGCAGCTCTGCTGGGTTCTCTTCAAAGCCTTGTTAATTATGACAGCTCAGAAGACTCTGAATTAGAATCAGATGGAAAAGAGTGCTTGACAGACACAAAACAGGTGCCTCTAAATAATAGTGAGACAAGGATAAGGGAAACTGGTTGCAGCTACGCAGGTGAGAAGTGTAATACACTTAAATCTGAAGTGTCGCCTCTGAAACAAAAGGGATCTAATACCTCATCCGGTTTGACTTGTGTGAGGTCTTCAGATAACATCGTTCCCCTGAGAATAATGCTTTACAAATCAACAAAATGTTTGGAAGAACTGCAAAAAGCTATCTCTAGGTTGCAGAGAAGAAATCTTTTCCCATATAATCCGTCTGCATTGTTGAAACTACTGACTCACGTTGAGAAGATCAGTAAGAACATGAATCCACAATAATCCGAAGAAACGTTCTAGTGATTTATTTTTTTTTAAACTAGTACACCAGGGAACGTTTCCATGAGACTAATGACTTCTAAAGCTCATGCCTCTTGCACCTGCAGCATATTTAACCTGGAGCAGGATAAATGTGGTTTTGGTTGACACCTTAAAAATCTGCAATTGCATTCAGTGATATGATCCATTACCTAAGGATCCTGAGGTTATTCATGGTATGTATGTCAGTGTATGGCACGTAAGGATTAATTGTTAGGTATTCACAATTTGATAATAAATGACTGACTAATAGGAAAGCAGATCAACAATACATAATACTTAAAGTATTGTCAATTATACTTTACTGTCATTTTGTATCCAAAGTCATTGCCAGTTTGGCAGTGATTTATGGACCACAGTACAGTGTTAATGCAACACTTGACTGCTTCCAGGTTGAGCTAAATAAAATATTTTAGTTGGGGACAGTGCTGGTGTTTCTCCTGTGTGTTCTGCATCGGTGCTTTGCTCCAAGTGGACCTTCAGAAGTGCTACTACCACAGTCACAATAATCCGTGCCACGCTTTTCATGGCTGAAGTGCTTAACCGATGTCTAGGCTGTACTTTTTTTTTAGCTCTTACTGTTTGTCTGATTTAATCAGCAGTGTTATCATTTCAATAAAAATTAAAAGTAGTTTTTCATAGTATTTTATAATATATTCCCAGAATTAGAAGGGAAGATAGATATGAGACTAATTCATATATTTCCTATTTATAGAACATTTTGGTGGAGCTTTATATCTAAAATCAAGCTTAGGTAACACAGAAGTGAAATTCCTTTCATCCATTATGTGTTTTGTGTTATTATAGACTATATACTTCATACATTTGTTAAATCAGAAACGGATAACTAGAAATTAAGTGTTTGCAGTGCGGTGAGATGAATATTAAGTTCTTATACTTGACACCTTTTATTAGATCTAATTTGAATAACCTGAAAGGTAAGCATCTTAAGACTTTGCCTGGGGAGATTTAGTCCAGAACAGGATCCAAACCAGTGCGTGCACTTAGCAGGAAGCCACCTCATGTTGGTACATTTAACGTGCAACTTGTGCTGATCTTACAAGGGTTGAGCAATGAGAAGGTCCTGATGACGGAGACTGCTGTAAAGATCTCAGACTTCATCAGAGCTGTAAGAAGCAGTTTTCCTTTTAGGATTGTCTCGTGAAGGTAAGTGCTCTATTCAGGTTGAGAACCGAGTAAGTTCATTTGAAACAGCTGTTTAATGTTAAATTGAAATAGGTGTTAAGATGTGTAGTCTCTGGAGCAAGATGGCCCAGATCCCTGTGGCCATCTTCTAGATTAGTCTTGAGCTCTGAACTGCTTAATCAACACTGTTGGGATGGACAGAAAACTGGGTGAAGCTTAGGGGACAATTTAGCTGGAAATTGCATCGCTCTGCTCTCCAGAGACACTTGAATGGTGTGAATCGCCAGAGAGGAAGGTTTGAACCTCAGTCTTACCCTTTCAGGCTGACAGCTGTAATCACTTGGCAGCCAGATGGGAAAGGGTAGATCCCCTTCAGTGGCAGGTAGGAAATCTGAATATTCTGTGCATTCATGGTGCTTTGGTTTCTTCCTGAGGTAACAGTTGTGCATAGGAGTGGATGAGACTGTCAATGAATGGAAATTTTTCCATTCATGATTAGAGTTACTTTAGTTGAGAACTACCCTCTGTTTCTCTTTGCTGTTTGAACTTGGTTATGCTCTAGATGCTAAATTGCACTTTTCTGTCAGGATTAAATTGTCAGGACTAAATGCTTGTGGGCGTGTTCAAAGATGCAACTCTAGACAACCTGGGAACTTTTCGATTCAAACAAGGGAAGTGCCTTTGGCAAGGCAATTGAGCAAGAGTTTCTCAAGATCACAATTTTAATTGTAAGTAGGTGCTTAGATTTCAGTGAAATCCTTTCCACTATCCACACTTCTAATCTAGCCTTTGCTGACTAGTTTATTATAACCGACTATCTTCATTGTTTTCACTGAACACAGTATTGTTCAGCATTTCTTGTTCTATACTGTGCCAGTTGCAAGTATCCAAGTTGCAGCAATATTTCTCAGATACTGATAAGATAAGCAAGGTGGGAAAAGTGGAGCGGGGAGATAATTTTGGCTTTGTTAAGCACTGGTCGTCTTGTTTGTCAGTGATTACTGTAGGAAATTTCCTGAAGTAAAAGTGTAGACATCTCGGAACGGTGTCTAAAATTTAGCAAGAAGTGTAGGAGCCATAACTTGATTTTTGAATACAGCAAATCCAGTGGCAGTCCAAATGTATTTAATTCTTACAGGCATGAAATTGGTATTGTGCCCAATTGGTTGCTAGTAGTGAACATTCCCACATGTTTCACCTCTCAGGAAGCCATTGTTTTAATTCTCAGAGTGTTTTAGTGATAAAAATGGGTAAATGTGGTATGTATCTGGCAACTAGATACCTTAATGTGTTGATATTTTACCATTTATGAACTGTGGGACCTGACATGGTGTAAACCCGATACGAGTGAACTTTTTTTTATTGCACACAAAATGACTGTGAGCAGTGAAGGTAGCTAGTCGTTGTATGGATATATTAAAAAAAAAAGTCTAGCAGATAGAAAACACATTGCAAAAGAATTTGTAATCGGTGAGTGTATAAGGTGGGGTGGTTGAGGTCTGGTTTTGGGGTTGCTGGTGGTTGGGTTTTTTTGGCTAGAGTTTCTACTATCTAAAATGATAAGGCAGAGCTGTCATTGCACTTGCTAGAGCAAATTAACTTGGCTACAGAACCTATTACCAACATTCAATTAGAACTTGAGAAGTAGGTCAGTTATTACTAGGCTGTGCCTTGCCTTTGGATATTGATATCTAACAACTCTTCTTGTATTATTTCAAAGCAAGACAGAACAAATCAGGTGACCTGTCTGGAGACAGTTTTCTATCTGAGGACTTGAAGTGTCCACAGTCTCCATCTGTGTCTGTGCAGTTGTTTTGAGGAGTTTACCTTCAACATCAATAGAATAAATTATGCTTTAATGAGGTAAGCAGGTAGGTAGCACTAGAAGTTACTTACAGGATGTGCTTCTTAAAAAGAGTATTTTTGAACTTGAATATTTGTAGAGCTTGGCTGCAATTACAGCTGAATCCAGGTGGTTCCATGCCTGTGGTTCTTCAAACTGGATTTCCTCCAGTATTTTTACGATGTCTTGTCATTCTAGTTTTCAGACTTGTAACACGAGTTTTAATCCTGTAATAGAAGAATAAAACCCAACCTTGAGAATTTGTGTACTTCCGATACTCTTGTAAAGCGAGGATTAACGAGCCTTGGTTGTTACCTTGTTTATTAGTGCAGGATAAGCGTCATCTGTCCTACTTCCAAGGTCAATCTGGGATGGTGTCTGAAGTCACTATCAAGTACTCACCCTTTCAGTCTCAGTAGGAGCGAAATTACCGTGGTCATTACATTTTTACTTCTGTGTATTTTCCCTTAAAGAGGTATCCAAATGAATTTGCTAATTCTCATTGTACTTTGTACAACTCTTCAGAGTGAACCAGGTAGCCTAAAAAGCTTCTTAGAAGCCAGTTGTGTGTCGGAAGGGCTAATAGGCAGTCTGTTACTGCCACTAGCTCAGCAGCAGGCACAGACCCAGACTTGGCTGAGAAACATCTCGGGGATTTAAGCTTTTCCAAGTCCTTGTCTTTTGCAGTGTTGTGCAAAGGAGTTTACTGGTGGTAACTGTCAGAGACAGTGTTTAATAGACAATCTGGCTTGCAGCTGGTTTGCATACAGCAAGGGAGGAAGGAATACAACAGGATATCTTGTGGTGAAAAGCTTGCGTGGAGAATTACACTGTCCTTAGTTATTTCTGGTTCCTGCTTACTTGTGCTGTGAAACATGAGCTCTGTCAGTCAGCAGCGTGCTTTGAGAGGGAGGGTTCGGGGAAAAAAAAAAATTGTGAAATGTTCAGAAAAGTAGCACCCATAACCTCAAGAGTAATTGCTGAACTTTGGCTTCCTTCAAAGGTTGTGGGGAAAGTTTGTCTGTACATATCCTGAAATTATGTCAGGAGTTATCCAAGAATGTGCCCCATCTCATCTTGGTGCTACGGAGTTGAAACCTGGAAGATTTTCCATGGAGCTTCAAAGAGCTTCCACACGTCCATGGCTATTTTGACGGAAGTAATAGCTGCGTAGAAAGCAATAGATAAGATTTTGAAGTCTACTTTGCAAAAATGCATGTACTCACTACGTACAAAAGATTTGTTGTCGTATGACAAAATCATTATTTTCACATTCATGATGTTCATCCTTTGATTGCTAGCTTTATCTTCAGATGAAATCTTCTGGAGTTTGTCAGCTCTTAAAAGTAACTTTGTCTCATACAGCTATTTTGTGTAGGAATTTAATAGAAACAAAAGTCCTGGAAACTTATCTCCAGTACTTGGCTTCCTTGGTAGTATTTATATTCTTCAAGAAAATCATGTATGAAATGGTGTTCTCTTTCTGCTGTGAGAATTAGGCAAAGATCCCCAATGCAACTAATGTAAAACTATAATAATAATAATAATGAATTATTATTATTATTTCTTTAATTATCTCTTTAAAGGAGAATCTTGTACTCTGTCATCTTCAACAGAGTATTGGTGGCTCTAAAGGACTATTTCTTTACCTGAAGAAACTAAAAATATTGACCAGTGTGATGCCAGCATTTTCTGTAATTTTCAATGAGGAGCTAATGCAGAGAGGGGATTTGCTGACTGTGAATCGTCAAAGGGATTGCGTTTCAGTTTCGCCAAGCAAATACTCTTTATTTTGCGCTTATGTTTCCTGTGGATGGATAAAGATGAATGCGTTAAGAGTCTTCTAGTCATGTAATCAAACATTTGCAACATTGTCTTATGTGCAAGTGTTACAAATTGTTGAGATTTATTTTCATAGGGGTTGTTAAACCAGTGCTTCCTGCTCCAAGGATCAGCAAAGACATCTTTTTTTTTT